TTATCATGTTGGATGCAAAACTATTGAAACCTCGATCTTTAATGCAAACGGAGACAGCTTACCGGACCCGTTAATTATCGGGACTTTCGAGAAACGGGCCCCAGGTCTGAAAACGGGTATGGATTTTAGAGATCTAGTCTGAAAACGAGTGTGGATAATTACATTTTTTGGTCTGAAATCGGGTCAGGATATGAAGAACCGGGCGGCACACCGCCACCAAGAGTTCCCAGGAGTACCCCCCGGGGGTCTTTGAATATTTCAGACAGGATATTGGCTATTCCATTCTCCTCGGATAAAGCCTTGCAAATCGGCAGATCCTGATTTCATCTCTCTATTTCAACTTGGAGTGTTCTTTATATTAAAAAAATATTTCATGTATTATGAAAACTCTGACCTATTTCCGTAAAATGGTGGAAACCGGTGTGGATCCGCACCTGCTGAATTGTGTTACGGAGAGAATTCTGAGTAGGAACTAGGAAAGAAGGGAGCTGTACACAAGAAAGGCAGCAGAAGTCAAGTGGACAATTATCGACAATTATCGACTATTATCGACCGATACATATACAGACCAACTTGTGGTCTTTTATAATTATTCCCGGTTCAATATCCGGTCTCACCAGCCACATTTTTACAACTCGGATTCTGGTAAAACTGAGACAAATTTTTAACGCTTTTGCTGTTATTAATATTAGTTTCAGTAGCCAGAAGCTAAATTCCAAAAAAGCTATCAGGTTCTTTGTTCGTCCTGATTTTCTTCGGTTATTGAAGGATTGGAAAACTGACGAAGACCTGCAATACGCGGTCGAAACGTCGCGATCACCATATCTGTGACAGTCGTGAGGCAATTAACAGAAGAGATTTCCTTAGCCGTCATTTGCCGTCTCTTTGATCCATAATTTAATCCCAGTCCACTGTTTCACACCTTTTTGCGCTCGCTTCATCACCCAACTTTTATCCGCCCTGCATTGAACATCGTGATGGCGCGGTTGGCCGCGAGGGTCTGGTGCACGAAATTCCAGTGCTCACTTCTGAATCAAATACTTACTTCCGCCTCAGTTGGTTCCAGTCCTCTCCCTTAATTATCTACTTCCGCGATGGTCCGAATACCTGTTCACACTGCACCAAAGTATGGCACAAAACCTATCCGATATGTGACGCTCCCAGTTTCAAGATCGGCGCGTGCCAGCTTGGCTTCGTCGAAGTAATAGACCTTTTTACCGATACGGCGGCCATATTGAATCAAGGAGCATTATGGGATGCCAAAGGAGGTATAAGCACGATCCAATGTACTCGCATCAGTATTTACGTGCGCTTTTCGGGTCAATTTTTCCTTAAGTTTTCCCAGAAAAAGATTGTACAGTGTAATGGGAAAAAAAAGATCGTTGTGCCGTGTTTGGATGTAATAATGATCCCCGTTTTCCCCAGAAATATATACATTAAAGTCTCTTTGCCCGAAAAGCGAGCGTAAATACTGAGCTAGTGCCCCCTGGGCATCCCATAATACTCCTTAAATCTAATAAATTCAATATGGCCGCCGTATCGGTTCTTGTGTTTAAACAGAAGCCTCATCGTGTATGAATTTTGTGTCGGCGCAAAAGCTATCTACTTTTATAAAACACCGGACGAATTTTCGACCAGCTGAAAAAAGGATTGACCGGACACTTTGTACACAAGAAACCGTTCAATACATTCCCTTAATTTCAAACCGGTCAAAAATTCATCTGTTGCCGTGCAAACGTAGCCTAAGGGGCCGATTACCTGAGCGGATTGGCCCTGGAAACGAGCGGCGTTGGCCCTGGTTAAAAATCCAGTATTTTCACTGTCACAATCAACTGCAGTATAACATCCGGGGTATAACATTTACCAAGACATTTAGGGTCATTATACGTTTCTGGGAAACTGCCCACCTACCCCTCCCCTAAGCCAACATTTTCCCCTAAGTTTCCCAGATTTGTATAATGATCCGACATGTAATTCATGTAAACTCGTGATAACTATTGTTTATGGCTTCTTACATATATTGTAGGTGTGTTAAGAAATGGAGTGACCACACCAATGGTTCTTCTTTTGCAGCCTAGAAATCCATGACAAAATAGTAAAACATGCATAAGGTTGTAAGTAAGTATCTTCATGCATCTAAATCCATTACTATCTTAAAGCATGTTTAAGGTTGATATACAAACTGCAGCTCATATGATGTATAGAGAGAGATGAATAGGCCAATTTCCCGATGTATGAAGACACATGGCATGTGAAAAACATATGTTTCCTCTGTGTTGTTTTGTTTTCACTGCACCAAGATGTACCCCATGGCCTTAATGTGCTTGTTGCCATTATCAGCCTCGTACTCAGCTAGTGCTTCATTTCCACATGTGTTGGAGTCGTCGGGATATCCACCAGTACCAAACCCGATCCTGGAATCACAGGATTTGCATTCGTTTTCATTGTTAAAAAGGATACCGATTCTTGCTTTGCTGTCTTTTTCACGGTCACTCTTGGT